AAAAACCAACCAACCAAAACGATCTTCTCCACTTCTACTCAAACCACGACACCAAAACTAAACATGGTGTAATTATAGGCTTCTTCCTGCGCGCACTCAGAATCTGCAGCAATGAGTTCCTTGAGGAAGAATGCACTATAACTGAACAGGTATTTTCTAAACTCCTCTATCCTTGTCACTTCATCAGAGACTGCAGACGGCGGGCATTAAACATCTTCAACACACCCAGAGAAGACACTGCCGAGAAGATATACATAGTCCTCCCCACCAACTCCATTGCCAAACATGTTTCCAACATCTTTTCCAATACATCATTCCAAGTATCTACCTCCACAACCACGACCATCAAGGACATCGGCAGTAGTAGACAGGACAAGCTTCCATCCTCTGCAGGGGTATACATAATCCCTTGTAATGACTGCAACAAATTATACGTGGGCGAAACATCAAGAGACCTCCAAACACGTATTTCAGAACACCAATAAGCAAGCAGGACTGACGATACAAGGAATGCCTGTGTACAACATTGCAATTCACACAATCATTTAATTAACTACAGGAACTCAAGACTTATCGGCACAGAAGGCAACACTCAATACCGAAGAATCCTGGAATCATCGCTTATCTCTATAACCAACAATTTCAACCAGAACAATGACTTCTATAACATAGCTGAACCACTTGCCAAGAAACTTCTTCATCGCTATCCCACATAAGAACATAGAACACTGCAGAAGGCCTACTCACAACTTGTCCAATACCCTTGCCAAGCTACCCAAGACTCTATAACCCCACCCGGTAGATCATCAGATGCAGCATTCTCCACCTGACCTCAACATTCTGAACCTGACTATAAATACTCCTGTACCTTCCACCCCAGGTAGATCTGTTTGTGACTTGAAAAAGCCCACTGTGTGGGCGAAACGTCGTCAATAAAGGATCACATTAAACTGCATATGTGTTTGTGTTTCCTTTGTGTCGGTATTTTATACCATTTATTTTCAAAGCCTGTAATTGTTTTACATGATGGTAGGATTGCTGGTGTCTTTTGTCTGTCTCATAAATATGCAAGATTACAGGTACGTCTTGCTACTTCTAATTACACTGAGGTCACACTACACATACATGTACAAGCGGTCGGTGAAGAGGCGGGGCCAGGAGCTGAGTCTCGACCCCTGCAACCACAATTAGTTGAGTACAGCCCTCTGGGTTTTCTTCTATTTTCTTACTAGTTCTTGTTCTTGTTTATTTTCTCTTATCTCCATGGGAAAGTGGAACAGAATTCTTCCTCTGTAAGCTATGCGTGTTGTAAGAAGCGACTAAAATGCCAGGAGCAAGGGGGCTAGTAACCCCTTCTCCTGTATAAATTACTAAATTTAAAAAGAGAAACTTTTCGTTTACTGATGACTCAGACTTATGACAGGTTCTTTGACCAGTATGCATACCTAAATAATGTATATTGGAGCTGATTTCCTCTATTTTACTACAATATACAGTACATTACTGAATAAACATTTAAAAATATACCAGAAATGTTATAAATGGTGCAAATGTGACATTAAAACAATATCAAAGATGGTTGACACAAACCCACTAATATTAAAGTACAGTGGTCCCTCAATTATCGTCCATAATCCATTCCTAGAAGTGGGACTATTATTGAAATGGATGATTTACGAATCAATTTTCCCCATACGAAATAATGTAAATTCAATTAATCTGTTCCTGACACCCAGAAGTATTAAAACAAAAAATTTTTTTACATGAAATATAGATGTAGTACATAAACAATACAGTGGCACATGATGAATTAAACATTAACAGAATAACACTTACCTTTATTGGCGATTCTTCTTTGTGTATGGAAGACTGGAGAAGGAGACAGATTGGATGATTTACTGTTTGGAAGGGGAATCCCCTTCCATCAACACCTCGGGTACCAATTGCTTTTCTGGGGTTACTTCTCTTCTCTGTTTCTTAATGCCACTAGGACCACCTTGAGAGTCACTGGAGTCTTGTCTCGCAAAAAAAACTGTCCAGACAGCTCTGTTTCTGGCGTCTCTAAAACTTCCCTAAAATGGGCCAAGACTCTGTCACTGTACAAGTTGCCGATATGGCTTGCAACATCCTTCTCTGGGTGATGTTTCTCCATAAATCTTTCCATCCTACCCAACATTTCAAAAATCTCCTTAATTTCTGAAGAAGGCACCTTCCTCCATCTCTCTTCCTCCTCCTCTGCAGCAAGATTCTGAGCTGCGATCTGTTGCTCTTCCTGCTGAAGCTCTTGCAGCTCCTCAGTGGTTAGCTCTTCGTTGTGGTCCTCCACCAACTCTTCCACATCCTCCAAACTCACATCCAACCCCATGGAACTCCCCAGTGCGACAATAGAGTTTACAGCTGACATAGGCTCATCAGGGGCCGCCTCAAACTCTTCAAAATCCCTCTTGTGGACACAGTCTGGCCACAATTTTCTCTATGCAGAGTTCAAAGTCCTGGTAGTCACTCCCTCCCAAGCTTTACCTATAAGGCTTACGCAATGGAGAATACTGAAGTGTTCTTTCCAAAAATCTTGTAGGGTCCATGGTCTGGAGGAGAGGAGTGGTATTCGGGGGCAAGAACTTTACTGTGATGAACCCAAACTCCTTCAGAATTAGGTCATCCAAGTTTGGAGGATGAGCAGGTGCATTGTCCATTACTAGGAGGCACTTGAGATCCAATTTCTTTTCCAAGAGGTAATTCTTCACACTAGGGCCAAACACTTCATTGAACCACTCGACGAAAATGTCCCTTGTGACCCATGCCTTATTATTAGAACTCCAAAACACACACAACTTACTCTTCATAACATTGTTCTTCTTGAACACTCTGGGATTTTCAGAATGGTACACTAGTAACGGCTTCACTTTGAAATCCCCACTAGCATTAGCACAGAACATTAGCATCAACCTGTCTTTCATAGGCTTGTGTCCTGGCAGCGCGTTTTCTTCCTGAGTAATGTAGGTCCTCTTTGGCATTTTCTTCCAAAAGAGGCCTGTTTCATCACAATTGAACACTTGTTCAGGTTTCAGTCCTTCACTGTTTATGTACTCCTTGAATTCATGCACATATTTTTCAGTCGCCTTGTGGTCCGAACTGGCAGCCTCACCATACCTTACCACACTGTCAGGGCCGGATTAAGAAGTCTCCGGGCCCTAGGCTATTCAGATTGGCGGGGCTCCTTTGAGTTACGGGTAAGTGAAGCGACCCCTTCAAGCTTGGGGGTGGGGGAGGGGGTCGGTGTGAGCCTGTTTAAGGTCTAATTAAATACATTCTGGCTATTTAGATTAAATTTAATAGGGAAAGTACATCAAGACAACCAAAACCATTTACCAACAGCCATTATAACTATCTTGTTAAATCATGCATTTTAAAGAGAATAAACTCAAGACAGCATAGTATTACTAGATTAGGCTATTAAAGTAGTGACATCATGTACCTATTATATTCAGCATAACCACTACAGCACTATTATTCCCTTTATAAATCACTGACCATTATTGTTATCATTGCATCATGCATAAGACTATCAAATCATATAAACTACAGAAAATTGGAGAGGAATCTCCCATACTCACCCATTAGCGGGAAAACACAGCTGTTCTGATGTAAACAAAGGCGTGTTGAGTGTTGCCATCTATGGTTAGGTTTATTTATTTTTATTTTATTTTATTTCATTATTTATTTTTGTTTTGATTAACTTTTAAAAATCAATTTTACTCTCCAAACACTTGAACTTTTTAGGTAGGGACCCCTTTGCACTTGCACCATGTGCGCAGTCTTGGATGAGCCCCTGAACCCCAAATGCGCGGGGCCCCCAAATGCGCGGGGCCCCCAAATGCGTGGGGCCCCCAAATGCGCGGGGCCCCCAAATACACGGGGCCCCCAAATGCACGGGGCCCTAGGCAAATGCCTAGTTTGCCTATGCGGTAATCCGGCCCTGCACACTGTGTATGCCAGTACGCTTCTTAAATCTCTCAAACCAGTCTTTGCTGGCCTTAAATTCACTCACATCACCACTAGTTGCAGGCAATTTCTTTACCAAATCATCATGCAACTGCCTAGTCTTTTCACAAATAAGCGACATCATAAGACTATCTCCTGCTAATTGTTTCTCATTTATCCACACCAATAATAACTTCTCAGCATCTTCGAGTACTGGTGATCTCATTTTTGTCAGCATATTTACCCCCTTTGCAACAACAGCATCCTTGATTTCCTTTTTCTTGGCTATGATGGAAGATATGGTTGTACGGGATTTGTTATACATCCTGGCCAGTTCGCCCACACGTATGCCACTATCATATTGTTCAATGATGTTTTTCTTAAATTCAATCGCATTTCTCACCTTCTTTACCAAAGGCTTGGCACTAGGAGCTTTCTTTGGAGCCATGGTAGCATATTTAGCACTTAAATAACTTGCAAGCACTAAAATAAATGGAATATTATGAAATATTTCACTGGAGCATGTGAGAGGACCGTCGCTCACTGGTAAACAATGGCACACTGGCTGGGAAGGGAAGGCCCAGGCGGCTCAGAGCGTGAGTACGCATCTGGGACGAAGGACTATTAGCGAGTTACCGGACCATTTGCGAGCCAATACTTAGACGAAAAAACAGGACTATTTCCGAAATGGACGACTTTTAGGCCGGACGATTATTGAGGGACCACTGTATGCTGCTCACTTAGTGATGAATTAATTTATCGGCGTGGTCTGAGGAACGGAACTCTGTTGTTAAGTGAGGAGAGGCTGTATTAATTTGTTTACATGAATTTTTGTAAATTTTAAAATGCAACATTATATATTATTTCATATGCATGGAGCAAAAGACCTAAGACAAATCATATTGTGTACCAGAAATATTTAAACCTGGTTTAATTCATTCAAGATGTGCTGTATTAAATTAAATATCAGAAATACATTTTTACAAGGTACAAAATACAAAGTTCTATCTTTAACTTACTTGTCCTGCCTCAGTCACTGCCAGGCAATGTAAAGCCCCTACTGCTACATGAATAACTTTCTTGCCTCGCAATCCTTCTACCATTGTTGGTCGCCGAACATGTTGGTCTGTGCCATGACCCAATCTGAAATAGTCTCCCTTGCCCCAAGTCCATACCTGGTAATGAGGTCAAGAGATATCAGCAAATGCAATAAATGGATTTCATAATATCATAAATATCTAAGCAACTCTATCAAAATAATAACAACAAAGGTTGTAAACATTATATAAAATCATTTAAGCAACCACTTGGCAATGGGATGTGACATTTTCAGTGTAGCCAGTCCTACATGTCTGCTACTTTTATGCAAAATTAAAAAAAAATAAAATATGTAAAAATAATTCATGTGATGCACTGCTGTAAAGTAGGATGGGTGACTTTAGATCTGCTATCAAAAGTTACCCAGGTGTAAAATACCAAGAAATAGTAAGAAGCCTTTATTGGTACACTGTTTCACCCACAGGGATCCTTTATCAAGTACTACATAGATATCATGAGAACAGTGCTCCTTAACCCTTTAACTGTCCAAACGTAGATTTAAGTTATTACCGCTAGCACTCCAAATGTAGATCAACGTTTTATTTTTCCTGCCTCCAAAGTGGGCACGATTGGCCTGTGATGTGTGATCAGTATAGAATGGGTCTTAACACTCAGTGTATTAAAAAAATCTGAGACCATTTAGTACCTTGCGGGAGCACCAGTTCAATTGAGCGCCAGCTAGAGCAAATAGCGTGGCAAACACCAGGGATTCACTGATGTCATGTCATATTAACATTCTCCTTTTAAGAGGAAAGTGATGTTGACCCAAAGTTTAGTGACTTTGAGATGGATATGGCCACAAGTGGTCGAAGAAATATCAAAAACCTCGATAATAACCCATGCACAACATTTGTACAACATCCTTTCATTTTTGATACCACTGGTAGTGTCATCCTGCCAGAATGTCCTATAACCTATGCCCTAAGTAAAGAATCAATTCTGGAACGTGTAATACGTTTTCGGCAGGCCAGATGGCTGCCTGGCTGGCTCGCTGGCCAGCCGGCTGGGTGGGTGCATGGCTGTCTGGTTGACTGACTGACTTTGGCTGTGTCTCTGTCTGTATCTGTCTCTGTCTCTCTCTCTCACAGGTACACCTAAGTACAGTTATCATACATAGTGTAAATTACCTAGGATAACCCAAAAAATCCAGACAAAGTGCTATTCTGTGCTTGTAGATATAAGGCATAAAATAAAGGCTTGTAGATATAAGGCATAATTAAAATAAAAAGAAAAAGAAAAAGGTATATCGGCAGCACTTCTAAAAGCGGCTGGACTCCATGTTGCTGTCGGGTGAGCATCCAGCGCCAACTTTGCAGTCTTATATCTAGGTAAGTACTGACACTAATTTTTTTTTTGGTCTTATTACACACACAAAATTGACCTCTTTAACCCTTTGACTGTTGAAACCCCAAATCCTGAGGTGTCTCCTGGTGTCGAAAAGTTTTTGAAAAAAAAAATCTTATGAAATGATAGAGAATCTTTTCCCGATGGTAATGACACCAAAAAAAAAAAAAACGAAATTTGATGGAAAACTGATGGAATTACGCTCTCGCGAAGTTAGTGACCTTGGCGATATTTACGAATCGGTGATATCATCCGCTTTGAGGCCTATTTTCGGCTAATTCCATTGTTCCAGTCGACCAAACTCACAGCTATTTCTTTCGAGCTCCAATTTTTCTATCGACTGAGTACAAGAAACTGCTCATTTACCGATTTCGACTACCCAATAACATGGCCAGAAAGTTGCAATTTGGCCAATTTCACTAAAATTAAAAAACATGACATTTCAAAATAGGGTCCAGAATGAACAATGCATACATTCCTCACTCTAAAATAACATTTTCTTTGTTTATCAGTCACGTCTCCAGGCCCCTCTGATATTACTCTTGCTTTCTATTTTGAATTTTTATTCAAACAAAAAATAGAAGATTTACTGTTATGCAGGCTACTGCAATATTGTAATAATTGTATAAATAATGTCAACCCATTCATGACTGCATATTAGAATGGCTAGTTGGACATTTATTGGACAATGACATCATTTGTTTACTTTTGAACATCGCCAAAAATCAAACATTTCCCCTACTTTGAGCTCCATTTCAAGGTTCTTTTCCTAGTAAATCCAATCAAAATCACCTCTATTTCTATAATATGTTTTCCATTCTATCAAATGAGACCAAGAAAATGAGAATACAACCATAAATACTATATGAAAATAGATCACAAAATCGGCATTTTAATTAAAAAAAAATGGTCGGATTTTTTTTTCTCATTATGCACTGCGTGCTGCAGGATTTTATTTATGTGGCGCACAGTGACCACACAGACCCATTCTCTCACATGTGGGCCTACCAGCTTTCTCCTGCTTGATCTGAAGCCTCTAGAATTTATGAGTATATATACCTCAAACACGGTGGCTCGTAAGACGTATACATATATATATATATATATATATATACGACCGAAATAGTCAAAAGGTTAATTTAAAAAAAAAAAATTCAAAATATTCGGAGTGCTGGCAGTGAAAACGTAGATCTACGTTTGGACAGTTTAAGGGTTAAATGATACACTTGGCAATTGGTGTCAGGTGAAAAATCAGGAACTGGAGAATCAGAGGAGCACTGTATGAGGCCAAATGTCCCACAAAATGCTTTAAGTTTGCATTATTTTAAGATAATGTGGGTAATTTTTAGTGGCTAAGGTGAATATGCCACTCTTCAGAAATTACTCCAAGTAATACTGAAACAGACTTATCTTACCAGCTTGTGCTACAGCCAACACAGTCCTTGCTATTATATTTAAAACCAACACTGACACAGCTGTAATTACTTCCAAGCTGAACAGAGACATCATGAGATCCTCCATACTGACTGCTGCACTAAAAGAGGCAGGGGTTTGCGGAACTCCATAGGGTTATACTGACAAAGTCTACATTGTAGATGAATGGTTCAGAGAACTGACACATTGATAAATTAGACACAGGTGCAACATATGGGTATCTTTAATGAGGAAACGTTTCGCCACACAGTGGCTTCATCAGTCCATACAAAGGAGAATGGTGAAGAACAGGAGGAGTTTGAGGTAATCAGTCCCTCAGCCTTGAGCCGATGTGATCAGTCCATCAATCTTGAAAAGAAAAGATTAATGGACTGATCATAACGACTCATAGCTGAGGGACTGATTACCTCAAACTCCTCCTGTTCTTCACCATTCTCCTTTGTATAGACTGATGAAGCCACTGTGTGGCAAAACATTTCCTCATTAAAGCTACCCAAATGTTGCACTTGTGTCTAATTTAAGGTCTACATTAGATAAACTATCAGAAATCACCCAAATGCCTACAAAAGTAGAAAAATGCATGCAGAATCAACAAGTATAACACTGCAACTCCCACATCTACATCATGGCATGGGATAGACCTACACTATTATTACATGGTGTCATGGTCACCTTGGTTACATCAGTCATCCACATCATCCTAGAAATTTATAAACAAAGTATAGTGGGAACCATCAGGCCTCATGCAGAGCTCCTATGATGTTCTACTTCCTGATCTTTCTCCTGGTCCCATTTACCAAATTTTTTTTTTTTCAACAAGTCAGCCGTCTCCCACCGAGGCAGGGTGACCCAAAAAGAAAGAAAATCCCCAAAAAGAAAATACTTTCATCATCATTCAACACTTTCACCTCACTCATTCAATCACTGTAATTCTAGTCAATGTAAAAAAATTTCCTAGGTAGTAGGTTGGTAAACAGCAACTGCCCATGGAGATATTACCATCCTGCCAAGTGAGTATAAAACGAAAGCCTGTAATTGTTTTACATGATGGTAGGATTGCTGGTGTCCTTTTTTCTGTCTCATAAACATGCAAGATTTCAGGTACGTCTTGCTACTTCTACTTACACTTAGGTCACACTACACATACATATACAAACATATATATATACACACCCCTCTGGGTTCTCTGCTATTTTCTTTCTAGTTTTTGTTTTTGTTTATTTCCTCTTACCTCCATTGGGAAGTGAAACAGAATTCTTCCTCCGTAAGCCATGTGTGTTGTAAGAGGCGACTAAAATGCCGGGAACAAGGGGCTAGTAACCCCTTCTCCTGTATAAATTACTGAATTTAAAAAGAGAAACTTTTGTTTTTCTTTTTGGGCCACCCTGCCTCTGTGGGATACGCCAGTTTGTTGAAAGAAGAAGAAAAGTAAAAAAATTTATAACTATTAGTACAGGTCTCCCTCCACCTTCGCGAGGGTTAGGGGATCAAGAACCTCGTGAATGTTGAAAAATCGCGAATGTTTGGTGCACAAATATATTGTAGGGAAATATAATAATAGCATTTATTAGCCTAACAATATTGCTTCCTTAACCTATTGAACCATGAACAATCATACAACACATGAAAACATTGTAAAAATATTGTACTAGTGCCAGAGTACCAAAGTGGAGGAAGAAGAGGGGAGAATGTGCCTTCTTAAGTGATTCTACGATATGTATGATACTAAAGCAGCATGCGTCGATAAAGGCTATAGTGCTATCCAGCAACGAAGTGTAGCATTAACAGTGTAGCAAGTAAGTTAAGCGATTAATTGATTGAAAAAGGACAGCACGAACCTAACTCCTCCAATGTTGTTGGAGTTATATAGGGCTACTGACAACACCGCCGCCTCCACCACCACTATGTATGGCTTATGCTCTCAGTGGCCCTTATACGCCCAAAAACAACAACACAATACCACTCGTGACATACATAATGACATTTTATTCATTCTAGAGTATATGTCATGTTTCTATGTTATTAATATTGTTTATTATGTCATATTAGATCAATTATGATGTATAAATAAGCCGTAGAGTTGATATTAGTGTCATACTGAAGGACTATCTTGTCCTGTTTCCAAACAAACTCTGCCGCCGCTGCCACAATTCCTAACATACGTAATGACATAGTGGTACCTTGACTTACGAGTGCCCAAACTTACGAGTTTTCCAAGTTACAAGCTGTCGCTTGGTCGATTTTTTGCTTTGAGTTGCAAGCCAAAATCCGAGTTACGAGCGAGCTTCAGATATGCCGC